ATAGTTAGAAATTAATGTCAACAAATAAATAATAAAATATACAAATTTTAAAATACTGTAAAATAAACTTTATATAATGCTTTTTTATTTCGGAGTTAATATTACCCTTGAAATTTAAGTCGGTTCCAAGTTGACCTGGGTTGAACGAGTCGAATCTGAGTCGGATAATGATCGGGTCGAGTCGAATCTCGGGTTCTGTAATTATTAACGGGTTCAAGTTCAAATATGCTTCAAACCCGACCCGACCTGACCCTTATGGAGCACTAGTCAGGACTATTCGAGGGCTAGTCCATAATTTCTGAGATATTACTATAAAGAAATTCTTTAGCAAAATGACTTGTATGCTTTAGATTATTGTCTTGCTAAAGTCTCTAATTATCACTAAGCATTGTATCGATCTCTAGAATATGATTTTCAAGGATTTCAATGTAAAATTCTATATTCATTATTTAGCAGAAGCAAAACAAACTTGTTTTGCTTATTATATAAAATTTGCCTTATGCAAAAATTTTTACTTTATCTTTTGGCATGGGGTGGATTAGATGAACTTTCTTATGCCAACACCCCACAGCATTCTGAAAGATTTAAAAGGGTGTTTCATTTAAAAAGCATTATACTTCAATTATAATTAATATGCTTCTGCGCTTATTATAGATGAGGGACGAAACCCCTTAATAACAGTCGAAACTTAGACGAAACTATATTAAAATCATAATAAGGTATACGACGAAACCCATTTGATATGACGAAAGTCGAAACTGTCGAAACTATATTAAAAACATAGAAAAGGGTATGACGAAATTATTTTGAGGAGGTTTCGGCAGGCATCTATAACGCTTATTCAACATGTTTTTATTTATAGGTATTAGTAATCATTAGAGTTACTCTTAAAAAGGATTTTTTATAACTATGTGTAATTAAATGCTTTGAAACAGTCACATGAGATACTTTAAGGCCCATTCAGTTTAATTTTTTAGCTAGTGTTCTTGTTGGAATCAATATATCTTTTTGGATACTTTGTCAAGAGAATTGGAAAATTTGTCAGTGATTTTCCTTGGACATCCACTTTCTTTTTTAACTTACCATATTACTTTCCTTTATTTTTTTAATATTATCATATATAGTAAAAAGAGGATGTTTATAATCCTATTATTTTCAGTTCCTTTACATACACCTTCATTTCATAATTGTAAAATAGTTTACTATAGTTTTTTTGCTTCAAAACTAACATTTTGTAACGTGATAGCTTAGAAAAACAAATAAACAAAGTTCTGATTAAGTGTCAAAATTTATTGTTATGATTGTTATATCAATCTTTCATTTTAGGATTTTCAAATCAGATTCAATTTAGTCATGTAAGTTTGATTTGAATTATATTTTTAAAATTCTGGTTTTTTTCATAACACACTGTATAATTTAAATTTTAATTTATACCAACTATTAAAAATATAACATTTTTATTTTATAATTTTAAAATTTAAATTATATAAAGATTAAATTAGAGAAAAGTCAACTTGAATTATCACATTTCATCTCAATTTTAAATTTTGGTAATAACCACTGCATCCTTAGTTTCCAATTTATCACATTTTAAATTTAGATAATAGTCAACATGTATATTACTTTTTCAGTTTTAATTTGCTTTAATTTTAAATTAGAATAATAGTTAACTTAGGACATCGCATTCCCAGTTTCCAATTTACTTCAATTTAAAATTGGGGCAATAGACAACTTGGGGTACCACGTTTCCAGTTTCTAATTTGTCACAATTTTAAATTAGGGCAATAGTCAACTTGGGGCAACTTATATTCACAGTTTTCAATTTGCCTCAATTTTAAATTAGGGCAGGATAATAGTAAACTTAGGGCACTGCTTTCCCAGTTTCCAAATTGTTCCATTTTGAATTGGGGCAATGCATGTCTCAATTTTCAATTTGCCCTAATTTTAAATTGAAACAGAAAAATCGCATTTGCCCAAATTTGAAATTTCAAATTGGATTGCCCGCCCAAAATCGAAGTTTGCATTTGGGGCAGATCATTAACTTGGGGCATAAAAGTTCAATCAGCACAAAAAAGGTAAAATAATTAAACAAGGCAACAAGCCAGCATTCTTTTCTCAATGCTAAATCGAATTATATAAAGAAACGACATTATCTTTTACACAAGTACTAACCTTTTAACATTTATTAAATTAAGTTCACATATATCAGGGTCACATAACTCTGATTTTAATAGCTTTGCTCCTATGTTCAGGCTTCAGTGATTACTTATTAAAAGCATTAAAAAATTGATATTGAGCACAATTTAATAATAATAAGGTAAGTATTAGAAGTTAGAATTTTTCACGTATTTGCTAACAATTAACGCGACGTATTTAAAAATATATTTTAATAATTATTGCTTTAAAGAAATCACTTTAGCACGAAATCATGATTTTTATTAACAAACCTCTAATTTATTAAGACAAATTGAACTGAACATTCATGTCAGTTGTATAATTTCATGCAATGCTATAGAACATTTACATAATTTTTTTACTTGAATTTGAAGTTATAAATATCACTTATGGAAAAACGAATTTTTCGCTTGAAAGAAAATATCTGCTCATTAAATTGGAATGTTTCATTGGGTGTGGTGGTGTCAATTAATTAAATCAAACCTATATATGGACCACCTATTGTAAAATTTACTATTGAAGATTTTATGTGATGCATACATGTCGAACCTAAATTATTTGCTACTAATATTACGATTTTTCCTAGTAAGAAAATCCTAAAATTTTAAAGTTTAATAACTTCGATTTAAGTTAGCACTCAGACAAATTAAAACTGTAAATGAAAACATTACAACATAAAAAACAATGTGACACACGCTTTCTTGAAAAACAACAAAGAAAAAAATTTTTATTTAGAGAGCTGTGTATAATAATACTTATTTATTATTTCTCAAAGCGTAAATAATATTTTTTTTTTTTTTTGGAAAAAACAAGCTATTACAATAATTTAGAATTTTTTGTATTAAGAAGAATTAAAGCTTTGAAGATTATTATAAAGCATATTTAAACTATCGGAATTATAAATAAAATCTTTAATAGTAAATATTACTATATGATTTTGTTAATCCATGTCGATGATGATTGAAATACCTAGCAAATGAATATTCAGCATGACAATTGAAACGCAAATATAATGTCTGTATAATAAATCATATATTTAAGAATTCACGTCCTCAATCACAATTAACATGTCAATAATTCAAAACATTAAGTTTTATTACAAAACAAAATTCTTTTATAAAAATATCTCATCATTTATTCACCTCTATAAATCTAAAAATCTCCATTTCATTAATGATAAAATTATCTTTATCTAAAATATTACTTTCATAATATTTTTTAATGCACGTACCAGATTTATAATAGATAACCAAATCACTATTGCCAAAATTTAGTGGTATATTATGATATTTACTTTCGCAAATTGCACGATCTTCATTTACAACTCGACTAATCTTAAAATCATTCAAATCATTTCTATCACCTAAAAAAAAAATAAAACTTTCGGTAGTATTAGACCAGTATTTTCTTTCTGAATGAAAACCAAAACCATTAATATCTTTATTATATCTCCAACCAAGTGGATTATAACCACCAATTATCGAATCATTCTTGTTAGTTTTAATGATCAAAACACAATCGCTCTTTCTGTATCTATGACACTTGCTACGTATAATATTAGTATTATAGCCATCAATACTTCCACGGTAGATAAGGCTAAATTTATATGTATCCTTTGGAGTTCTTGCATAAGAATCTTTTCTTTGAATCCAGTTAGCAAGAATAGACGCATGTTTTGGCTTAATAATTAACGAATCAATTGTAACATTTCCATGACGAGGAGCTAATTCATATCGATCAGGCTTAATATTTGCCATATAAAACGATATAATATCTTCAAAGAGATCTTCAGGTAACACACTCCTAAGAGGCCAAATATTACTATGAAAACCTTCTGAAGAAATTTCAAAGAATCGAATGTGTGAAATAAACTCATTTAAAGTGCTTTTTAATGCCTTAAAATCCTTTTCATTCCAACGCCTTAAATTATTAATATTCTTTCCTTTCAATATCGAAGTTTGGTTTATTCCCCATTTAATAAGATAATTCCATAATTCAATTTCATCAATTTGTAAATCTTCTCTTTGAATCAATCCAAATAGAATACTTTTTTCTAATGCTGGAAAATTTGGTGAATCGAAAAAAGGTTTAGGATCACCACAAATAGTATCTAAGCAATAATTTTGGAGTAGTTTACAACTTTCTAATTGGAAAACCGTGTGAAGGACCTTAATAAAATTTAGTTGTAACCATTCAGTTTCATCTTCAATCAAATACTCTTGTACAGAAGTAATCAATTCATCAAGAAGTAATTCATCGGATGCTAATATGAGATCGAGTAAATCATAGCCAGCTAGTTTGTCCAAGTCAAGTTTACCAGAATACAAATATCTAAAATAAAAAAATAAAATAAAAATTTAAAAGTTTAATAAGCCACGCAACTTTTCAATAATATTAATAAATTTGTGTGCTAAACGTCTTGATTACGTGATGTACATGTAAAAATATTTGTTAAAGAATTTGACAACCGCTCCATATTACTTTATAAGTTCAGACGAACTTTTAGATTCGAAAAAAAAAAATTCAGGAAACGTAATTTACCTAAGAATAATATCAAAAATGTTTGGAGAAATATTCGGTTTGTTAAAGTTAATCATATTATAATTCTTTTTAATCCAATTCTGCGAGAGGGCTCTTTTAAAATATGGTGAACGAGCCTTCAAGATAACCGAATGTGCTCGAAATTCTTTAATATTTGGATTTTGTCCAACTTTAATAATGATATCATAATCGTCCGCATCATCAAGCAGCTGAGAAAAATTCTGAGATAATCTAGGAAAATATTCGAAGGTCATTTTTATGGAATTTTCAGGAAAGATTAAAATTTAAAAAAGAAATAAATGAGCTCTTTTATAGAAACTTTGTGTTCCTCAAAATTATTTTTACTGACAACATACCATACCATATCTGGTTATATACACAAAACATGAGATCAACCTTGTACTACATATGAGTCAGAACATATTTTCTTTTAATTGAATTAGTAATCAATAAATTAGCGGAAATCGCAATACCTGCCCGATTACAATCTTTCAGATGTCAAAGGAACTAGTTAGCAACTAGGTTGATCAATGCGTAAAAACTTTAAACCTAATATTATGAATTATATGCGAATTTGGTGACTGGATTTAATTCTGTTTTTAATATACATTCATATCTATCTATATGTATTTGCAATATTTAGAAATACCCTGATTCACTAAATTGATTGAATGTGTCTACAATCTTAGTTTAATTAGTTTGAATAAGTATTCGAGTAAGCTCAAAAGAAATGTCTTTCGGTAGTAACTTTTCACCAGAAGATATATAATCGAATTCACATAATTGATATTTTTTTGGCGAAAATTAATGAAAAGTCAAACAATTTATGTGTTAGTTTATATTATTAAATCGTTACTAAATTCAGATCATTATATACTGTATTAATATAAATCGTATCCTTAAAGATTCCAAAAAAAATAAATTTTTTTTAAAATTTTAATTCACTGAAATTTTGCTATAACAAAATTCATGATAAATGATAAATAATTGCTTTATTTACTATTTAAATTTTAAAGTTTAATTTCAATACTTCAATTAAAAATTTATAAATGCATAATTTAATAAATTTAACGTATTTATCGTTTATTATTTTTATTTAATAACGTTATTTTAGTTATTTTTTCGCAAATAAAATTTATTTTTGCTAAATTTCAAAATTGAGCGATAGTCGTCCCATGAAAACTCGAATTCTCAAATTCTAACTCGGGTGAATAAAATTCTTGACTTTACTTTTTTGACTCGAGTCCAATGATAGTTAGAAAATTTCTTTCCTCGAAGAAATTATTTAAATGTCTCATACTTTCAATTTTTAGTATTATTTCAATTATTATATTTGTAGAATGTACAAGAAATGCTTCTAAAATATAATAATATATTTAAAAAAAAACAAAAAAGCCAATTTCTACACCTTGAAAAGGAAGAAATAATTGTAAAATGACCTATTAATTTTATACTTAGTTTTTCGACTTCTAAAATAAACTATCATATAAACTCATTTAACATTATTATTTAGACGTTTGTATAACCATTAACATAATTTCGGTGTTTGATACAAGGAATTTTTCTCCAATTTATTTTAAAAAGACATTACGTAAATAAATTAAAAGTTTAGTGATGTTTTTAATGTCAGGTTGGCTCCTAAATCAACTCCAAAAAAGAAAATTATAAATTTAAAATTTATAATTCGACTCGACAAAGGCAATCAAAATATTGAACCATCATCTGTTAATCCTTTAATGTAGATAGTGATCATGCTACTTAAACTAAGAATAATAAATATCATTAAATGTAATGTATTACAGACTCCTCGAAATTTACTTGCCACCATTGGAAATTGTAGTTTTAAGAGGAAATTTCATATTTAACATCTTAGAACTAGTTAGTTAAACTCATTATCTTTATTATGTCTTTGAATACTTATAGAATTTTATTGTGCTTTATTTTACGTTAAAATATTACGAGTTATAAAAATCATTGTGAGCTGAATACAAATTAAAATATTTTTTTTAGAAAATATTTAACATTTGTTAAATCTTTTTATTTATCCGTTTTCTATTGTGAAACTTTTTTAGGTGTGTTTTATCGCGTGGAATCTACGCACCCGTAGTCTACGACCCGCCGCAAGTTACGTTTATTGAGGAGTATTATATTTATGAATGTTTGAAACTTTTGTCAGTATATTATTTAAACTTTAAAATTCATATCATAGATAGTAATTTTGCATGCTTTGTAAGTCTATAGATAGTATTTCGTTATACAACGGTTTATTGCGTAATACTTCGTAAATATACAAAACTATAAATCACTGCGGAGAATTTTGCATAAATAATTTCTCTGATGAAATTGAATGATTGATTAATATTAATTTTTTGGGGTTATTTCTTTTTTTGATAATTCTGTATAGAGATTACAAAATATTTATTGCCGATAAACACGAATCAAATGATTTTATATCTTACGCCATTCTAATTTCAAAAGCCACAAAATAGTTATATGATAAAAAAAATTTCGATGGTAATCCATAAAAAAGTACCTTTCCAACTCACTGCCAAGGGAAACATTGATTATAATTTATAATTAGTAAATTGGTTTGAAATTTTGGAGCAAATAAAAAAATTAACAAATCAAATTTATAATTTTATGACAACCGCAATTTAAAAACTTGGTCGAGTATCAGATATAACAATTGTTTCATTTTTTAACTTCCTTCCTATTTCTATTGTATCAGAATATTTTTTGAATATATTTATTCTGTTCTGGGGTATAGGATCTTAACTATTTCCGCGACTAAATTTATCCCGTGATAGTATAGTTATTTTAAAAGTTTATTTATATAAGGTATGGAGAAACTACCACCTATCGAAATTTTGTGACATGAGATAAACGTTTCTCCTATAGCTCTTCGTCAACTTCAAACATTCGTGCAATTGATGCAACTCTATATAAATTCCTCATTCCATAAGACTAACGATTATAACATTTATTTCTAATTTCAAGACATGAAATTTAGGCAGTTTGGTCATATATATAGCTAATAAATTGAGATTTCCGGACATATTTGGTCATATGCAAACTGCAGCAAAATAATTTAATTTCTTTTGTTAATTATACATCTATTAAGAAATGTGCAAAAATATTGATGGTAATGTTATCAAGAATAAACAAACCAATGACACAAAATATTATGATAAGTTTAATTCCTCGTTGTAATTGAAGAACTTTTTCCGCTAAAAAAAAAGTAAACAAAGTCAAATCTGTTAAATATATTTGGCATTGTGTACCCGTGTATTCGTAAAGAAAGTAACATAAAGTGGCCTCTCAATGTAATAAGAGCGTTTGATACATTTGATATCATTAAACCTCAAAACACGTAATAATGCTGTTAATTTGTGGAATTTTCTAGTACTTTAGATTGTTGACAAATCATCATTAAATTGCAAACAATTTGATACAATTAGAAAGATTTAAATTCCATATAATTTTTGTTGAGTTTGATTACCAATTAACTTAGAATTAACTGAAATTAAGCCAACAAATTAAATCTTTCAAAGGCCAATTATAGAGAGATATATAAGAAATTAACAATTAATACGATTTACTTTATGTAGTTAGTTATCGCCTAATGCGAAGACACGAAATTAAAATGTAAAATAAGAATTTTATTGTAAACCGACTTATTATTTCCATTGAAAATCACTATTGACAACCAGGTTAAGCCACAAGAATGAATATACTGTATATATAAAAAGTCTAAATACTTTATAAATATGAATATAAAATATAAAATAAAATACATAATCTCATTTAATTCTTTAAGATTTATTAGAATTAATTCCAAATGATTTAATACCATTTGAATTTTCCTGATCGTTAAAACAATATGTTTCTAAATAATATAATCTATAAATGTTGACGAACTTTGTATTCCTTTAAAAGCCTCATTCTCTTTAACAGTATCATTCTCAGTTCATCTCTTTCAGATTCTCATCATCACGACCACTTGAAAAAATTACACGAACTAAGGTTGCGGGGGCAAAACCCAAATCCCATTTTGGCAAAAGTAGAAACCTTTCTTTTTCGATGCCTGTCGAACCTCGGGATTGGCCCGGTAACCTTAATCTGGATATGAATTTAACTCCAATTTTAGGCCAGAACTTAAATTATATTACTGGACTTGAACGGTTAAAGATTTTAAGGCCGGTTCCAACTTCTTTCTAATCCAGAAACTACACTACATTTTAAAAAATTTTAATAACTTTTGAGATTTCCATTTTTATTAATATTTTTTTTCATCATATTTAATACATTTTTCTGTCAAACTTATTGTCAAATGTTCTAAGAATTTTTTAATAAACAACTAAAAATGCGAATATCTTATGAATATTGGTCATGTTCACCTGACTAAGAGCTTTCTGTTAAGCTGTTAATGATTGAACTCGAATATTTTGTATTAAACTATTTAAAAATGTGCATTTTTATGTTATTTTTTTTATTTAAACCATATTTATTTATTTATAAGTGCATGATACAAAGTAGATACAAATGATAATAAAATTTTATATTTAATTTTGACATAAGACATCCTTGAGTATAATCGAAAGTTAAGAAGATATCCTTTTTTTTTTTTTTTTAGCTCTTCGTATTTTTTTGAATCATTTTATACTTGTCATCAAGGTCGTACACGTCATTCTATTTTTTTTACTAAAAAAGAACATTAGAATTCGAAGGCGTTAATAATTGTTTGTTTAACGTTTATCATTATAACCAATATAATAATTGTATTGATAACCTTAAATTTAAATTCCGTTATCAAGAACATAAAAAAATATTTATTGTTTAGAAAAACGATATCGCCGAATCAAAACCTTTCACAGAAAAGTCCGAGTTTCATTTAAAAAAGGTCAAACTAATGTACCTTTTTTTATTTGTAATTTTTTTTCTTTGTACATTTCTAATGTTCGACGAACATAAATGATTTGGTTGTTTATTAAAAATTAAAAAAATTAACATTCTTTTTTTTTTTTTAGGAACGATATCTAAGGTTATTTCGGGGGACAAAATTAAAATAGACTCGATTTCTACTTATTTTCATTTCAGTTAATCGAAACTTTGAAATAAATTTTTCTGAAAAAAAAAAAATTTATTTTTTAATTATTAAAATATGTTCTATTTTAAAATGACTTCACATGAAATTTAAATTAACCATCTCAAGTTTATTAAATTAAGAGGTTTGCTATTATAATAACGTAACGAATCATATGATTTACGAATATTCGTAACTCGATTTTAATAGCAAACCTCCCAATTACTTTATGAAAAAAAATTTTCATCGATAATGTCCGTTTTATCCCATAAATAA